TTTATTGTCTCCCTGTCCTTCATTCTCAAATGCAACTTTGCAAAGGGATTATACATAAAACTGCATTTGGCATTTTTCACTGTGTTGCGATATTGAAACGCTGTAAAATTCCTGGGCTGATTGCTTGTAAAAGGTGCCACCTACAGTCATTTATAAATGGTGAACAATGTGGTCATTAGTTGGTCGATAAGGCTGATGTCAGTGCTTTATGTGGCTCATTTCATTTGTGGACAAGTTACCAACAGGGTTAATACTACCACATCATACTGGCAGCTCCGGGACTACTGGGGAACCGGTTTTTACATTTCTACAAGTATGCAAGTAAGCAGTTTTGAGTTGAGTGCAAGCCATTTGCAAAACAAAAATGTTTTAGTATTTTTTTTTTTCATTTTGGAGATGGGGCCCCATTGCTTAACTGAATCTTGAGAATAAACTAGATGCGTTAATGAAGGTCATTTGACACCCTAATGTGACTTTGGAAACGTGCAGGGCATCCTGGAAGACTCTCAGCCAGTAAACTACAGAACTGTATTCCCCTGGAGTCACTGGACCGGGGGTCTCTGTGACCAGGGTTACAGACCCCTGGAGTAGCTGGACTGGGGCTCCCCGGGACCAGGGTTACAGACCCCTGGAGTCACTGGACCGGGGTTACAGACCCCTGGAGTCACTGGACTGTGGCTCTCCTGGACCAGCCTGAGAACTGGAGGGAGGAGGAAGGAGGAGACATTCCTCACGCAGAGGTATAGCTTCTCCCTCCTGTGAAGGGCAAGGGGCTGTGAGTGACTGAAGTTCAGTCCGCAATCTGCGTGGAGGAACGACAGACAGCTCATGGCTGCGGTGGGGAAGCCCTCCCGAGAATCTCCTGTGCCAAGCATGGGCGTCTTTGCTGCGGTTTTCGGACGGCGATGCCTGCCGGCCCCGGATCTTGGTTGGCGGCCGGGCCCGGGGGTTGTTTTCTTGGGGCGCTTCCAGTTCGAGAGGCCAAGGTTATTTCGACGAATTTTGTGTCCGCTGAAGGAATATAATTTCTTATTACTTGTCTCTGCCCTGGGATAAACATTCACCCAAGTTCGGCACAAACACCGTCCAGAGAACTGGCACACCTGATTTAGCTTTCAAAATCTTTCATGTAACGCGTTTAGAAGTCACATTATGCTTAAAGACTGAGATTGCAGCGCAGTTTCTTTATATTTAAAAGATTAAAAAACTAAATTAGGTTAATGGGCTCCGTTAATAAGTACAATATAGAAATAACGGGATAATCTATTCGTAATTACGAGATACACATTAAATATTTAGTTTTCCTTGATGGCAGCAATGCGCTACCATATTACGGAACATAAATTTGAAAAAAGCGTAACATATAACTTTAGTTTAATTTTATGCGAATACAGTATTAGTAGAATAGTAACTCTCACAATACTCAAAATAATGACACGTTCTTTATTTTAAATAACTATTGATACATTAATTTCCACTAATTTGAAAATAAAAGTGACGATTTCTTTACGTCTTGTCTCTATTCTGCCCACAATCGAGAAAAATAAATGGGGTAAATAAAGATAAGGTCCGCACAGTTTTCGTGTTCTTACATTTAGAATACTTTGTAGATACGCCCTTACGTTTATTTTAAACTGTTCGAACATGAGTTTCTTCATTGTTTGTATATAATATCGTCCATGTATAATGATTAAGTCAATGATTAAATCATATTATTTTTAATAGGATAAAAAATTAACGCAACACCTATTTCTTCGTAAGCTTACTAACCTTAGGGATAAACTAAAGTGGTGAACGTCATCTAAAACCGACATAGAAGAGGGATCATTTTTCTCTATTTTGATTGGTCCATACATGTCGCATGTATAATGACGTCCTGCAATCCTTCCGCATACAAAATAGACCGTGCTTGGGTTGCACTTATTTCCAAACATACAGGAATTCCTGCGTGTTATTACCGTGCCTTTACACGCACGTACCAAATGTGAGGAATCGTGTGGTCGAGGTTAAGGATATAAGGGACAGAGCCCATTTTCAAGGGGAAAAACGACTTTTAGCTGTCGCCTGCTATACAAAATGGAAAACCTCCGATTATACCGCTTTAGGGAGCTCCGATGATTGAGCACAGCAATGCAAAAGAAACTGTTATCCGCGCCTTTGAAGAGAGCTCAAGTTCACCTCTGCAGGACATAGAGAAGTGTCCCCGGAGCAAAACAAAATGCAAAACTATCAGCTGACGTTTTGCGAGCATCGTCTTGCAGGATAGTCCTATAGACAATGTAGTGTCATCTTGTATCGATCCTAGTCTCCGTTGTTCTGAATAACAAAACCCAGGCCCAGGGTATACATTGCACTCCAACAGAAATATTAATTTATTTTGCAAAACCTGATATGGAGGCGAGTATTTCAGCTTCCCTTTTACACGACAGCCTCTCTTCTACCGTCGAGCGAGCCGTTCGGTCAGCGGTCGAGACCGTGTTGTGCGAAACGATGAGGTTCGTCTGGGGCCAGCTGAGCGACTTCCAGAACGCGCTGACGCAGAAGGACGTGGAGAACGCGAATCTAAAACTGATTCTGGGGGAAACCCAGACGGAGCTGAAGGCGCTCCGAGAGACCGTGGAGCGTTCCCCTCATCCAAGACCCCCGGTCACTCCAAACGCGGACGGCAGTGAAGCCTTCGCTCTGTCCTCCTCCCAGCTCCACAATGGCGCCGAGGGGACCGGCTACGGTCACTGGCCCCGCCAGTCGGGCACGACGCCGGACGGGTGTCCAAACACGCTGCGTTTAAACACGCTGTTGACAGCCTCCGTTTCCAGCGATGCTCAGACCCCGGACGTTTCGGGGGCGGGCGGAGTCCAGCCGAGATGGGATGCCGCGGCTGGGGCGCCTGACTGCGCCGAGACGCAGAGGACGTCTGCGCCCAAACGAGGTAACAGGCGACCCCGCCCGCACATCACACACGAGAGCCCTTCCCGTTCTGAAAACCGGCCATTTCCAGACAGAGACCCCTTTCAGTTGCTTTGGTGTGCCAAGTTTAGAAACAAGATGGTGGGGAGCCGCGATGCGTCGGAGTGCGCTGCGCTGTTCCCAGTGCGTCCAGCTCTCAGAAGCTGCAGGGTATTTTATTGGGGGTGCTGTCTGTGTGGAGTTTGCATGTTCCCCCCGTGTC